TGAAATATCGCGATATTTCAATGTATCGATATTTTCTTACACCCCTAGGTGTGACAGCTTTTAGATTTACCATAAATGAATAAAAATTAGCATCGTAGTTATTAGGTTTGTTTTTAGTTATTATTCACATGTTTAACAGGGTTATTAGCAAAGTTTGCATGTTTAAACAAGTAAWATCTGGGGTCRCGAGTGTCTGCAACTGTTACTTTGTGGGCCGGAAGCAAAAAAGTTTGAAAACTACCGGTGTGCACGGGTGGGACTTAAATGGCACTGGATGATGGGGCTAGGTGTCGGTCACCCAAACCTGGTTGTATTCCATTCAGAAATGTGGATATTATTTTGTCGGCCATCTTGAAAAATGGTAGCCGTATTGGTTTTTGGCATGGCCAGTGGTGTGTGATTTGAAAGTGAGCTTTGAAGAACACGTACCAAATTTCATGCTTGCGTCACCATTTGAAYAATAGTTTCTTTTATCTGCTTCACTAACACACAAGGATACGGTCTCTTTTCCATCTGGTCTAAATATTAGTTCATTTTTTTTTGCAGAATATTCTCTTTCTAACATTGATCTTTTTTTTGTATTTTCATAGAAAACTACAGACTCCAGAGTGCCTATGAGAAAAATCTCATCATCAAAATGGTTCTTGTGAGTGGATTTTAGCAACGCAGATCTGATTATAGTTCTATATAAATTTTACACACCGTGTGTCATCTTGTATTTTTTTTCTTGCAGTTTCAGTTTGTAAATTCTTATCTCAGCCTTTTTTACATCGGATTCTACCTCAAAGACATGGAGCGCCTGAAGGAGGTACGAACCCCGTTTTTTTTTTTCTGCTTGCTTCAGATTTATCCTGATCTTACAGTCTTGTCTGCGAGCAGCCGTGGGTTCCTCGGATGCTTTGCTGTATTTGTTTGTCTTGCATTGATTCCTGTACCCACTCATGCTCATGTGCGACCGTGTTTGTCCRTTTTGTGAAAAAGATGCTGCTGGTGTTGTCTCTGTTACGCAGTCTGCAGCGGCAGGTCCGGGACAATTTGCTGCCTTACCTCCTCATCAAGAGCCAGATGGTTTTTGTCTCTGTTCCCAAGTTCTTCAGGGCTTTTCTCAAGTCCAAAGTATGAATCCTGTGATCCGGTCCAGGTGGGACAAACAGTCCCTTTCTGGTCATCTTTCTTATGTTAGACACAGTCGTGTAGCTTAGTTTATTCTGGTTTGCCTTTTTCCTGCTCTGGTGATGGCTAGATCACTGTTTTTATTCACTTTTTTAAAACTGTTTTAATAAGGGGTATTCTTTGTGAGCTGTGACATAGTTTTTTTCGTTTAACCGTGTGAAGGTTTGGGRATTTTTGGTCTTTTCTTTCCATGTTGTGTGAATAGTTTTTCCATGGCTCTCCTCAGAACTCTGAAGTTTTCACTCTGACAGTTTTTGCTGCTCTTTCAGCATCAGCGACATTTTGCTGAGTTTGTCTTTTAAAACCTGACTCTGGTTTTCTTCCATTTAACTGGTAACAGCCCAGATCTTCCAAGTATTTGTCATTTGTCAGAAAAAAAAACTGCAGTATATTTAGTTTGACAATCTAAAGCAGGGCTAAAAATGCAAAAAAAAAAAAAAAAGATAAATTTCTTTTAAATATCTTGCAAAAGTCTGCAAAGGTCATCAGTAAAGCTTTATTTATTAGTGACTGGTTGTTAAAGGGTGACTCGGTTTGTTTGTTCTGATCATAGCGCTCACAGTGGGAGAACGGTTGTTCCCACTTCTTCAGACTTTTAGACGCAGAAAATAACCGTGTGCATGTCCACGCAGGAATTTATCATACCTTTGTGTTTGCATTTTGTGCTGCAGCTTTCAGCAGCCGTACATAAAAACAGCTGCGCGTCAGCAGTGTTTAAACTGGAAACTATTGCTTTCAGGTAAAAGCCAATAAGAGAGCGAAAGCTTTGCAATTCTTCAAAATGTCCCGTGTGTCCAGAGATATTAACCAAACGTATTACTGCTGAGGTTAGAGCAGCTTTTTTTATTTTTTGATAGTGTTTCTTAACAGTTTTAATATCTTTTGTTATATATATTTATTTGTGAAGTTTAATGCTGAGATCAGGAAACAAAGCAACAAAATATTCTGCTAAATGGAAGTCAGTCAAAGCCAGTCAAGTTTTAATTTGTAAAACTGATGTTATCTTATTGGAAAGAAGAAAAAAAGAGATTATTAAATAAGCTATTATTTATTTAGCTAACTTAGAAAGTTTAAACTTTTTTTCTGACAGTTTAAAACTCGGCAGGTGAAAATTAGCCTCCAAATCAGGGATGGGCAACTCAAAAGATAAAAGGGGCCACAGTTTTTTGTCGACACTACCAGAGGGACACACAGTGCTGCACACTTACACAAATGTAATACAAAAATAAAAATTTGAAATAGTTTGTGTAATTATATGTTTATTAAATCAACATACCCTGCAGTAACTTAACATATTTCACACTGGAATGCATGTATAACAGTTGTCCTCTTGTTTATTCAATATTAATACCAAACATTTGAAGCAAACAAAAAATAAACTTACTTTAGCGAGCTGAAGTACAACAGCATAAGATGCCTTGAGTGCAGACTCATGTGTGGTTGTAGGTTTGGTAAAAAGTCTGTTTATGTATTTGTGACTTCCGTAAACTTCTCATATTTAGCTTTGTGCAACGTGTTGTAGTGACTTATATTAAAGTCCTTCATGGCAGACAGCATCTCTAAGCAGACTAAACACATAGTTTCGACTTGAAATTCTGTGAACAGATAGTCTACCTCCCAAAATAAAAACACTTTTTAAAATATTTGATTTTTTTAACTTAAAAAAGCACTATTAAAGCAGCTTTTAAATTCTAAGATCTTCGAGTTCTTTCTTTTGGTAGAAAATAAGAGGGAGGTTGCTCATTGTCAGACTGGACTAAAGACAGGCCACCAG